CTTCAACTCCCAGAATTCCCCAGCCAGCCACTCATCTTAAAGTGGCCAAGTTTGGACAACATTGCCCTAAACCAAGTCTCAGTCTGAATATCGCACCCCATTTTATTAACACTCCAGCATCTATCCTGGCTTGATGTGATAAGTAGTTATGTGCACCCTCAAAATGCCAACTTTTCTCCACCTTTTAATTCCCTTTATTTTTCCTTAAGAGGAAACCACGTCAAGGGAAAGAGAGCTGAGGGATAACTGAGAAGAACAGCCATCTGCCATTCCCCTATCAAAGGAGAGAGTGAAGTTAATTTATGAGAAAAATAGCAGCTCACACATGAGGCAGCGGTAGGAGTGTAGGGGAAAGAGGAGAAAGCCTTCCCATCACTAGAGACTTCACACATTCAAGACTTTAGAAACATGGGAACCATGAAAAAGACACTTGAATACACTTTATAAGCAATTATGTCAGCCGAGTATACAAAAGACAACTTGAAGTATTTGCTAGGTATCTTTCTTGTGTGTGTGCTTATAAAAAAGTTGCCATGGCTTTAAGTTCCAAAAAGAACAAGCAGAAAGGAGGAAAACAACAGAAAATAATATGGGAAAATTGCAGAGAATACAGATCAAAGTAGGGTTACAAAAACGTTTTTTTTTTTTTTTTTGAAGAGACCTTTCAAAAGAAGATATGGGCAGACAGACATAGATTGCTGGTTTGGCTTTGGAATATGAAGTGGCAAGCACATTTCAAGCCAAGGAGAAGTACATGCTGGTGTTTTGGGGGATGACACCTTGGGAGAGAAGAGTCAAATACTCAATTATAATAAATGGAAATTATTCTGGCATACAGGTGTATCTACAGTAATAAATTCAGGTGCAACCTGTTCCAGTGTTGCACAGAGAAATGGCATAATTTATATATCTTATGATTCAGCATCCACTGTTGCAGTTTCGCACATTATCTGTTGTGTGGTGGTGGAGTAAACTGTAGTTTGTCTGGATGAAATGTTGCACTAACTTCTCTTTCTAACCTCAGCCCCATAGCTCCTTAATGCCACTAATTTCATATTGATTGATTCAATTCCTTTTCCTGAGCAAAACATGAAATGTGTGCAGTTTAGAAATATTTAGCAGTGACCATATTTATTCTTATCAAACTCCCCAAATAATTTTGAGGAAGCCATGCATGAATAAGCTGATAAAAAAGATGGGATCTTTTATGTTTTAAAAATGTTGTCTATGATACACCGGGGGATGGGGGGGAGTTCACTCAGCCTGGACATATTGCTAACAAGCTGGGAAGTCTGCAAATTACTTTCTCCATAAGACCCTTTGTCTCTGTCCCCCGGCCTCCAATTTTTGGGGGAGTATATGCAGCATTATTTGAATAGAATGGAGAGAAAAAAACTCCAAAGTTAGAGCTGAAATTACAGGAAGGATGACCTTGGATGAATGGGGAATGTACATACATTAATAGTAGATATTTTCATACCTTGTAATCTACTTTCTACACTTCTAAAGTTGGGGGAAGGAATTGTGGTTATCCAGTTACTGCTGAAATAAAACTCCAAGCAACCCCAGCCAACAAGGCCAGTGGTAAGGGATGCAGGGAATTGTAGCTTAGCAACATCTGGAAGGCTATGCTCTACATGGATTATCATCAGCAACAGCTGTTTCTAACATGTTTCCTACACATCCAAAATACCCAGAGTACTTTGCTTGTTCTCTTGTGTCTATGGCCTTTTTATACCCCAAACAGGCCCTGCCTTGTTTAGATAGCAGCTTCTTTTGGAGGAGGAAAAATGCTTCCTGAGAGTCTCTGCTAGGGGAGAGATAAACATGCTGCTATAGCAAGAGTGTTTTCTCTTACAGTGTACTTGGTTAAAGTCACCCTGCCCAATCTGGAACGGCAATGTCCAGCCCAGCTTCAGCTCTTGAAATTCCTAGTGATTGGCTACATTGGCTGAGAATTCTGGAAGTCAAACATCTGACAGCACCAGGTTAGGGAAGGCTAGCCTAGGACATTCATCTCAGCAATAAAGTGGGCCCTTAAGGAAAACAGTACATTGAGGTCAACAGATGATTGTGTTCTGCACAACAACTATGCTACATCTAAATTACCTTTTAGCATTTTTTTCTTTTTACTTTTGGACATACTTTTCAGAAACATAGATAATGGCTTAGTTTACACAATACATTAAATCATGTGCTTGCTTTGCTTTTGACTTAATGCATGTGAATCCAGCCACTGTGGTTTGTGAACCATGGTTTATGGCTTAACAGTATATGAACTCAGCTGAACCTGAGTCAGTAAATCATAGTTTAAATGAAACCTGACCTAGCAGACACATCATCCTGCCCCATTTAGATCTACAGTAGAGTATTCAATGAGACAGGACCCATGACTGCTTTTTAGTGCTTTGGTAGCAGAGAGAAGCCTTTTCTGTATCCCCAAAGTGGATAAGCAATTTTAAGAAATGCAAGAGCATTGTCTTCATAGGCAAGCAAAACATACGAGATGGTAGGCACCCACCCACCCTTCCTGGAATGGACTGCCAAACTGCATAGAGAGCCCTTATCTCAAGATCAAAAGAAGGGAAGATCCAGAGACAGACTGTGCACAATGAGAGAGAGAGAGAGAGGGAAAAAAAACCCAGAGCAGAAGCCACGCATGAGACAGTGCAAGGTTAGTCACAGATCTTTCTACACTGTATGCCAGGTAAGTCAAGAAGAGCTGCTGCTTCTGCCAAGTTCTTTCCCTCAGCACTTTTTCTTGAGAATTTCTTGAAGGTAGGAACAAACCTCTATGGCAGAATCCCAAGGGACTACAGTAGCTTGGTAGGCCCCAGGTTGGTTTTTCTCCATCTCCTGGATGAGCTGATGCATGGGGTAGCCTTTCCTTGGGAAGGCAACATCGCTGGACTTCATTGCCATGGAAGGGCAGAAGTCGTTGGCTCCATCTCCCACATAGAAGATTCTCTCAAATTTGGTTCCCTCCTGAGCCCTTTCTTCCAGATATTCAGTCAGGATCTTCTGTTTGCACATATTTGAAGGGCACCGGGGGCAATTATGTGAATGATAAGGGCCCAGGGTGAAGTAGCCCCTCTTGTCAAAACTAGAAGGGTTACTGAAGATTTTACGGAAGAGGGAGTAAGCCCCAGCAGCCTTCAATGAACATTCAATGCCGAACATGTTGGCGTCAGAGATGAGGATAATCTCAAAGTGGTTCTGTTGCTTAGAGAGAAACTGGAGGAGTTCCTGCATGCCAGGAGACAAGGGAATCTTTTCATAGACTGCTTTGAAGTCAGCCATCTTTACCCCTTGATCTCCCAGATATTTCAAAACCTGCTGCATGTACTCATTGTAGAAACCTTCCTGGAAGGTTTGGCGTATGGAATCTGGAAGTTTTTTCTCAGGAGCAGCCTGGATGACAGAATCATCACTATTCTCATTTACAATGGTCTCATCAAAGTCAAAGACCAGGAGGTACTTTTGGCTTTGTGTGGCCGCCATTGGCCCATCCTGCAACAAAAAGAGGTTTGGTTAATGGAAAGCCAACTTTAGTGTATATGTTCCTTGCTCTTCTCATAATGAACTCATGCCCAACCTGAATGTCATCCTTATGTGGACCAACTCCCAGAATTCCCCAGCCAACACAGCCATTCCTGAGAATTACAATGCCACTTCCAGCAAACATGAGAACTAAATTTCTTTCTCTTAATGGCAGAACAGTATTCAAAATGATTTCTGCGTATTTTTGGTTCCACCTTTGGTGCACCCTCCCCTTCCTACCTGAACCTGGAACTATTTGCAGATGTTCTGAGGTGCCAGAAACAGCAGGCAAAGGATGAAGAAGTTGAGTACATAGGCAGGTGCCTCCATAGCAGAAGTTCCTTTTCATGCTCAAAGAGATGGTACCTATATTTGGCCCTAACCAAAGCAAAGAATGTATGACTATGCTTAGAAATAACTGAAATTCTATCTTTGATACGCCTTTTTTTTCTCTTCTGGTCTTGGTTCATGGGGAAAAGAAGAAGGAATGGTGACAACTTGTGGAATTTGCTACTTATGCATTCTGTGCTAAAGGTTATTAGTCTCTGAGGGACTAGAATACTTTAAGGTATTTGCATCCACAAGGACTAGTAACTTGGCTTCTTACAACTCCTTGGAGGATGTAAAGATCTTTAATCTCCCTGCCCAATGCCATTATGGTCTGTTAATATCAATGTTTTTGACATTAATGATGAAGTCACCCAACTCTATTGTGATAAAACTCTAAAAATTGAGATTGCAGCAACTCCAAGTGAACTACTTCAACTAAGCATCATTGCCCTATTACTGCTTTGTGCCCCCTTTAAGACCCAGTGGGACTGTAATATTTTCTCCTTATGTATCTCCAACTCTTGACCTTAAGAGGCTTAACTACTCAGTGCAGGGGATCAGTGTTTAAGTTTCTTTTAATCCTGGTCACATTATTTCCTGAGCGAGGCAATTTACTCTCTTTGAAATTTCTGTGTCACTTGCAACAAAGGGACAGTGACACAATACTAAGGAATTTTGGAATACATGAAGGATTGGAGGAAAGGTGGCTAGTATATGGCCAGCTTTAGGCAGTTACTTGCACTGATACTGAATGTGGGTTTTCTGAGATTCTGAGGTTTCAGTTTAATTTTAAAAGAAACTTTTGCATTTGCAATAGTGCAACCATACTTCTCTGCGTGATATAGGTGGAACTCTGATGACCCACCAGATGGCCTGCCCCCCAACTCCACTTCTAAACATGTTCCTCTTATCTTGGGTTTCTTACCTGTGCTGCTTCTCTCGTCATCGCACTGGTTGATGAAGGCTAACCAGGTGTGGACTAGAGCTTTTGAGTGGTAGAGGCAAGCAGTTAAGCTGAACAACAGAGGCTGTGGCCATCACCACCCCATCTCTCGTCACCAGTTGAAGAAGCTTTTAGCATCAGTTACTGATTCTAGCATCTTACAGGGCTGCCCAAAAGCAAATGACCTCCCCCTGCTCCATGGCAGGGCTAGCTCTGCCTTTAGGCTAACAGAGGCATGCATTTGGGGTGGATCTCACAGCATGTCGATATTTGATAATTCTGAGACTTCCCTTTTCTACCCCAAGTTTCCTGAGAATAGTGCTCACCTTAAGAAAGCATCGCAGCCCAATACCTTCGAAACACCTTTTCATCTTCAGTACTTTAGTTTCCAACGTGATGCATCCCCCAATGTACACACTCCCTTTGCTGCTGAAGAAACCAGAGGTCACTGTTTTTATGAATGCCAGCTTTGTTTAGTCTGTCCTGCTCATTTTAGTTTTTGCCCCATATTGAAAATAAACTCCTCAGTCTGTTTTCCCAAATGGCTTTGATAATGATTGCATTTGTTCCGCAACAGAACTTCCTCACCAAGTACAAGCTTGTTTAAATACAGTTCAATTAGCTAGAGAGATGAAATAATAATAATAATAATAATAATAATAATAATAATAATAATAATTTAAAAAAATACTTTAGCTTCCACCATCAACCTGGTTACTGTGGGGAGGCAGCTTCTTGTGCCTTCTAAGAAAAGAAGGAAAAACCTAGCCCCATTCATGAAACAGAGAAGAATTGCCTTGCTAAGCCCTGATAAAAACCATTTATAAAGCCAACTGGCCCTTGTTCGTTTTCTCTTTCTTCTCCTCCCTCCAAATCTCTTCCTTTTGAGTTGGGTCTTATACATCTAACACACACAGGCAGGAGTTGGGTTTCTCTATCACAGCAAAATGTTGGTGAAATATTTTGACATTTTAAAGAGAGAGACAAACTCTCAGTGCCTGGGTAGTCCTCAGATGCTAGAGCAACCTCCTCCAATTTAGCACCGGTCAGATGGGATGCACTACAACTGCAACAATCTCCAGCCAGCTGGCCAATCACTAAAACAGTCATTGAAGAAAGCATCATTGCTTGTATTCCTCTCTTGGAAAGTGCTTCTCTCACTCTTTTGGCTCCTGAGCTGGATCATCTTCTGCCATGCAAATATTTACTTTCCAGCATTCGGCGCTATACAAATCCAATTGATCAATCACTTTCCAACCTTCCCTTTTTTTCTCAAGTATTCCCCATCATGGAAGAAAGGAGCACAGGCTTATTCTGCCTACAGGAGAGAACAAACAGCAGCCAGAATGTGGAAATAAGCCCAAATCATCCAAGCTTATCCGTAATTGCAATTCAAAAGTTGCCATCCAGGATCAGACAGGTTTCACATCTAGAAAGCTTACCAGGAATGCTGTAGAACTGCAAATTACGTAGACTGACATCAACATTTGGCAGCTAGGCTTATATAAACCAGCATTCATTGTCAACTTGTCCAGGCACTCATTTTATACCATTTGAAGAGGAGAAATTATTTCTTCTTGCTGTGTTCTGCTGACCTCTTATGTGCAGAAAAAGTAGAAGGGCAAAATTCTAATAGTAATACTTGAACACAAATCCTGTGTAACCTATAATTTGTCCCTGAAGAATACATTTGAATATGGCAGAGGTTATAGGATTCATCTGAATAGGACAAGACCTGCTTCTATCTACCTTTGAAGCATTAAAGGCAGTCATTGATACCACCAATAGTACTAATAGTGATATAAGTTGCTCTCCCATACTTGGGTGGGCTCTTTTTTAAAAACCCCATATACATTCATTTAAGCATCCTTTTATGGCTTGAAAACTAAGACTAAGCATGGTAAAATGGTAATGCCTCACAGATTCTCCAGTCAGTGCTGCACCCAGTAAGATTCTGCTATCAACTAAGTTTCTGTGATCTTGATGAGGAATTTGGACAACACAAGGAACGTGCGTCCACAATCATCCATTTGTGCATAGAATATGTTTGTATACCCACTAGTTGTCCTTTGTAATGCTCAGACTGCCAGCCAGTGTACAGCTTGTCTGTTTATATTGCAAACTGGGGAAATTCTGAGCCAGCACATACTGTATGCAAAACAAACCAATGTTGACTTAACTAAAAAGAGCCCCATACGTAGGGCGATTTGCCCAAATTTTTATCAGTGGGACATCAAGAAAGTGGGTATTATTCACACTGTTAGATCATATTGGTTAGCATAGAATAGGGATGTTCAACTTTTGGAGGGTTGAGGGCTACACTTGATAGCGCATATCAAAAAGTAGACAGGGCTGGGACAAAAACAGTTTAACGTGAGGTACATTTCAATGTAATGGAAATGAATTTATATAAATACAATGAGCAAATCTACTTCCTATGCACTCTTTTTTTTCTTTGTGCCACATTAAGCATTTTAATTTATAAGCCACTTTCGGAGGCCTCCTTCTGCAACCAGGAGGACTCTCAACACTGCTTAATGCTAATATAGTCTTATGCAACCCAAGACTCATTTGGGATTAAAGGACGGAGAAGGTGGTGGACTGATTATGGTGGTGAACTGGAGTTGGGGGAGACCCAAGTTCAGTGCTCTTTCCACTTGGGCCTTACTAGGTGACTCTGGGTCATTTATTAGGCTACCTCACTGAGTTGTTAGCATGAAGTTAAAGAGACCCCCTCCTCCTCATGTGCTGCCTTGAGCTTGTGGAAGATCAACAGGGTACTGATGAAATACATGAATCAGTCTGCCATCAGCACTGATCATTAGCCTAATTTGGGATAAAGAAAGGCTGAGGGAGGAATTAAATTTGAAATGGCAGCCTCTGATCAAGAGATTGGGTAGAAAGCTTGAACTAATACTGTACCACTACCAAGAGAAATGCTAAGCCTGTGCTGCGGTAGCAAATCTTTTTGCAGTGAAATAAGAATGGATCGCAGGAGTGGCTGGGGATCCAGTCCCCCTAGTTTTCTAATAACGGCTGGCTTAAAATCTCTTTTGGGGCACACTGACAAAATTTCTACACCAGCAGATGGCGAAGTTCTAACACCAGGAAGGCCAGCATGGTTTCCCTCCGCCTCTCTCTCTCACAGGATATTCTCAGTCCTAGACTGCCCCCAAGTTGGCAAGCACTATGTAGAACATGTGTGCAATGCTGAGACAGCAATTAAGCACAGTGATACGTGGCACTGCAAACTGTGGGTTTTATTTTTAGTGCTGGGGACAACCTGCCACACACAGCCACTTGCATTCAGCGTTTACAGTCCAACTCAGAGAAGACAAACCTCATACACAGTCAATTGTCTCCATATCCCACTCATAATGGCACAAATGAGCTGAAAGATGTGGTTCTATGGAGGCCACTGGGACCAGCCTTCTTGAGTTCAGGCGGGCTAGATCCCTTCCTTTTCCAAGTAATTCAGTGACAGATTTATTACACAGCCTTGGCCATATTCTCTACCTTAAAAAAGAGGAATTAGAAGTACTTTGGGTCCACCTAAAATTTTGGCAACATGTTAAAGTAGCAAGATGCTATGATTTATTTTAGGTTGCAAGAATCTGGGCAGATGCCAGCCATAATGTGTGGACAATGCCACAGGATCCATGACCGTGATCCCAGCAAAATGCACTCTACCAAGTGAGAGAGAAGTTTGTTGGTGGGGGGCAGGATGCAGTACAAGGCAAGGCCAATTCTGAACAATCTCTCTTGGATCCCAGTTAATGAAATGAAGGCTGCCTCCTCACCACCATCACTCTTGTTAATGGTACCTTTGTCACAAGAACTGTGCTTCTGCATGGCCACTCTTCATTTCTGGGGAGAAATCTAAAAGGTGTGCAACCTGAGGCCTTCTGTAACACAGATGAACATGGTTTCCTGGTGGACACCCTTCTTAGGAATCATGCTTGCTCCAATCTGCCTAACCTTGTCTCTTCTGACAACCTTCTGAGGGTTTTATTTCTTATAAAATGGCACATGATGGAATTTGGGGCCAGAATGCTGCAGGACCAGCTATCCCAGTGATATCTGCAGTGATGAAACAAGAGCTGTTGACATAGCAGAACTTCCCTCTTTCTCTTACACGCAGGCGTTGTTTTCTTCACAGCCTTCCTGCTTTATGCAAACCAGAAAACAAAAGTAGGACAAAAGCCTCCCACTTCACATAAGAGCAAAGAAAAAGTATCTTGGAGTGTTGGTAATTAAAGCAAACCATTCATGAGCAAATGGAGGGTATAAGCAGACTTAGGTTTGCAGAAGCACAAAAGAAAAATTTAAGAAAACTCCCTCGCTACATAGAAAGCATGTCCTGAACCAGTTCAGCGAGAACAGACTCTGTTTTGTGGCAACAGAATGCTGGCTTGCTCTTGTGGTGAAGGAATAACTAGAGATCAGTGGTGGTGATGGGAGGAGAGGGAGCAAAAGGTAAGATGGTGGCCATGACCGCACGATGGAAGCCCTGCCCCTTTTTTGCATGTACAAAAGGGGTGGGGTTTCAGTTGCATGTTTGCGGCTGCCATCTTGACTTGTTTGCCCCTCCCCCAATGGAAAGTCCAGGATCACAACTTTTTGTTACAGAATAAAGTACTGGTCTCCTTCCATGGCTTATGTCATGTTTAGGCAACCCTCAAATAATGACTGCATTCACACATGCTAATCCACAAACTAATCAATCACCCAGACCGGGTTCATACAATATAATGCACCATAAATTAGCTGTGTGAACTCAATCCATCAGAAAGCAATACCCTACTCAGAAACATTTTACCACCAATGCCTGCTTAGTTTATATATAATTTAAGCCAGGTGTGGGGAACCTGTGGCCTGTCAGCTCTCTCCTCCAGCTGTTGTCCACATTCAAGTCATCTGCCCCTTCCTACCGTCACTCACACCCAAAGCCATCACTCTGTCTGGAGCATCAAAATGTCATTCATCTGAAGCACTATCCAAGCTTGTGAGAATTCCCTATTGGACATCTGCAACTACCAATGTCCTTAGATGTTGGAGGGAGCAGGGGTTCTGCGAAGGAAAAGGCATGGCAATCATCACAGCCTCGTCCTTCATGGAAAATGTGGCTGTCTTCTTGCTGAAAAATATGCAGAAAAGGAGCACCAGATGACAGCAAGAACTTTAATGTTAGTGGGTGACCCCTCCCTCCTCAAAGTCCTGTCCCCTTATATTATCTAGTCCACCAGGGTTTTGGGAAAAGGCAACATGGTCCTTAAGTTCAATTATATTCTACCCATAATTTAAATTCCAATAGGGTGGACACATCTGGATTTTCAAGAGCATGTTGTGTGTGTCCTATCAAAATGACGAGCACAGGGAGGCTTCCACATTCACAAAACGGTTACCGTGCCCATTTTCCCAAAGGAAATGTCCTTCCTGTCATCACCTTCTCTAAAGCCTCAAGAAGCTCCTTACAGATTCCCACTGCTTAGCAATTGTTCCTTTCTCCTGGGCACGCTTTC